ACAGCAACAACAACAACAAAAACTAATCCTGTTCCCAAAGATTCTTTTTTTATTTAAATTTATTAATTTTTTGATTTTTAGAGAGAAAGAAAGAGGAAGGGAGAGAGACAGAGACAGACAGAGCTTTGTTGTTTCACTTCCTTCTATGTGGCCTGACCGGGGGATTCAACCTGCAGTCCAGGCTTATGGAGGTGATGCTCTAACCAACTGAGCCAGCCAGCCAAGGTTTCACTTCTGAAGTGTGGATGGAGCAGTGACTTCCTTCCACAGAGTACAATATGGGAAGGGGAGGGGACTAAGTTTACAGTGGAGAAGCCTGACAAACATTTTCAGCCAGGTGACTGACAAGTGACTGAAGGTAACATCAACAGTGGTGAGTCACATTGGTAGTATATACTCTTTTTTAAAGATTTTATTTATTTATGTTTTTAGAGAGAAGGGAAGGGAGGGAGAAGGAGAGGGAGAGAAACACTGATGTGCAAGAGATACATTGATAGGTTGCCTCTCACACACCCACAGCTGGGTACCTGGCCTGCAACCCAGGCATGTGCCTGACTGGGAATCGAACTGGCGACCTTTCGGTTTGCAGGCCAGCACTCAATCCACTGAGCCCCACCAGCCAGGGTGCAAAGATTCTTATTAAATTGATCATAACTGGGGTTCCAGCAGTGGCATTTTTACAAGTTCCCCAGGTTATAATGTTCGGCCTGAATCAAGAGGTTATTACTCCAGCTGTAACAAAGACACTTTGATCTGGGCCCCAGTGACATCCACCCATTGCCTGTCCTGGGCCCTGTGTCTTGCCTGGTCCCTAGGCCTGAGCTGGACTTTGGGTTGGGAGGAAGCAAGCTAAACCAGGGCTTGGGCAGCTGTCTTACAGCCCGCTGAGTGACCACAATGCATAAGGGTTAGAGTTTCCCAATAGCAGTGTGAAGAAGGTAGAGTTGGTGACATTGGCTTGGTGAGGCTTGGCTTCCCAAAGCTTAGTTTTGCCTTCTCTTTTCATCCTAGCTTTCTCTCTTCTTGCTTCTTTACAATTAGGACCCAATCAGAACTGAGCCTTAGAGACTATGTGAATGCAAAGTTCAAGTAGTCCTAACAAAGGAAGCCCCCTCTAATGATAGCTTTCCTATAGGTACTTTCAAAACCAGATAATGTGACCACACCCAGACTTGCCAGGAAGGTAGAGAAGTTACTGTTCCTCACTGTGTACATTTGAAAGCCAAAGCTTAGAGAATGAAGTTGTCTAAGATGACTTAGGCAGCAAGTACAGGAGCGGCTTAGTTGGAAAAAGCTTTTTCTCCAAGTGAGTTATATTTGGGCATTATTGCATTTCCTCTGTGGGAAATGTTGTTGCCTTTCTCCTGGATGTGTAAATTCTACTCTCGCTTATAGAGCACAGCCTAAGGACACAAGCACTGCTTTTCTCATTGCAAACTTCTCTGCGCAGAGAAATGCTCCCTGCTAAGAGGATCCCTGGTACATGGCCTGTGTAAGTGTCACTGCAGATACTTACACTGCAGTCACTGACCTCTTGGCTTCTGCTCAGCCGGTGCTTCTTTGATGCTCCCTTCAGGAGACTTGTGAGTGTGGTCCTGGGGTCTGATTTGACTTCACAGCTCTGTAGTGTGCCTCTCGCCTAATCTTTGGGCTTGATTCAGCTGGGCCTCTCCCCAGGGAGAGAGTCTGGCCTAACTCTCAGCGGAATCCAGATTGTGCCAACTGACTGCCGTCCCTGACCTGTCCTGGCATGTCACCCTAGCCTTGGCCAGAGTACAGCTTGCATAATACAGAGGCTGAAACTACTAGAATCTGCACATCTGGACACAGGCCGGACCAGAGGCCACAAACAAACATTCCTACATTACTCGCCTCAGCCTGCCCGGTGTCACTCTCCCCGCCGGGCACATAAGGAAATCTTCAGTGTGGGCCGCCTGGGCCCTAGCTCCAGGTGAATTAACTCTTCTGGGGCTGGGTGGTCACTCCTATCCCCTAGCCTGGGACGGGTGGGAGGGACGAAGGTGAAACACACTAGCTCAGCCCTTAATCACCAAGACATATGTCCCTGATTGCTCTTCTGGGAGAGGGCCCCAGGGCCTCCCAGCTCTCCATGGGGTGGTATGTTGTTGGGAGCCAATGTCCCTGACATCCTGTTGGGCAATAACCTATTACATTCTCCAGATTCTTGCCAGAGATGGCTGCTGGAGATTCAGTCTGGAGCCCTGCTTCGGACTCCGTGGCTCCTTTGTCTTGTTGAGCTGTTGTGGCCTCTGAAACTTCTGCCTCATAACTTCACTTCCCTGAACCATTTGGTTTCCAATTCTGAAGGTTATATGGATGCCACCACTTTGTAGACCCAGAAAGGAATGCTTGCTGGCCCTCTTTCTCCCACTGCTTCTTTTTCCTTGGGAGGCTTCAGTCACGGTGGGGAGGGAACTGATCTGGTGAGTGCTTGGTACTACATGTCAGGGTTCTTTTTTCCCCCTGTCCAGTATTTGACTGAATGCACATATTTTACAGAGGAGGAAACTGAGCCTTAGAGAGGTTAAAAAACTAGTCCAATGTCGGAGAGCTAGTGACTGACAGCCCCAGAATTTAAACTTGGGCGTGTCGCTCCACTGGGCCAGAAGGGGCAGAACACAAGTTTGAGGGCCTGGGGTTGGTTCCTTTGAGTCTAAACCCTTGTTAACCTAGTGTCTGATGGCAGGTGTGCCTAATGCCAGGGCAAAGAGTGCTGGATGTGGAATTTTAAGATCAGAGTTGTCATCTCAGTTACAACACTTAACTCTGTGTGACTTGGGGAAGTCCCTTGGGCTTCAGTATGCCCCATACTGTAACTTTTTAAAAATACTGATTTGGAGAGTTCTACCACAGTCCAATAAAATCTGCCTCTGGGGATGGGACCTTGAAGAATTGGTATTTTAAAAACTTCCTAGCTGATTCTCATGTGCATCCAAAGATGAGCATCCCTGAGCTAAGTGATTTAGGCCAATGCTTCTCAAACTTTAATGGGCTGCACATTGTGATTGAGGATCCAATTTGATTGAGATTCAACTCAGTAGGTCTTTGACTCTGTATGTCTAACCTGCTCCCAGGTGATGCTGATATGCTGCTGGTCCACACTTTGAATAGCAGGGGCTAGATGGCTGTAAGTGTAAATGAAACAACGTGGTGCTCACCCGAGTGAGCTGGTCTCCTTCCTGCCAACCCTGGCTAGCACCACTGCTTAGCATTAGGGGAGCAGGCAGCCCATCCACTCTTATGTGGGCCTCATGACTCAGGCAGATGGGACAAGGTACAGGCCTTCAGCACGGTGCTCTCCCACCCCCTTCGGCTTAGGGAGGCGCACAGGAGTAACAGACGGCTGGTGCTTCTCTCTGCCTGTTTCTTCCTCTTTCTTCTGCCTCCAACCATGAGTGACTAGGGGCTGTAGTGGAGTTCAAGGGTGTGATCCTGACCTGACATGTAGGCCGATTCCTGAGGGTTGGCGTTCCTGACCCGGGTAGCCATGCCAGACTCATGGCCCTTTAGGTGTCCCTGTTTCCTTCTATGCCCGTCTTTCTGGAAACTCGGATCTGGTCTCTCCTTTGGCTCCTCCTCTTTGTCTTAATGACAGGAAAGCAGAGCTGGCTGCTTGGCGGGACTCTGAGGGGCGGGGGAAGGCCCTTCTCCAGAGCATGTGGCTGGAGTAAGGGACTAGGGGTGGTTGTAGCAGCTGGCTCAGCTGTCCTACCAGCAAAACTGTGTCCCCCTAATGCTCCCTGGGTGGGTGTGAAGTCCCTTCAGGCCGCTATTACCACCTCCCACCTCCCAGACCACCACCTGCCTAGGGACCTGGATCCTTTCCCAGGCCTGCATTGGCCCCTTCCAGAGGGGCCGAGGAAGTGGTAGCTGGGCACCGTGGGAACAAATGCTTCCCAAGTCCCAGCCCCATTGCTCCCTGGCACCACCTGGGTAGGGAACAAATAGCTGCCTCGGCAGTCCCAGGACTTCGCTGCTGGTACTCAGCCTACACTGGGCCAGGAAGGCCTCCTCTGTGGCTTTAGTCCAGCTGCACGTCTGCACTGAGGCTGGCAGGGGTGTCCCGCTCAGGGCCGGGAACTCCCAGAGCAGAAGCGGGAGGCCGACCCAGCCATCGCCCTGTGAGACACCCACAGGCCAGCACTGTGTCAGCGTGACAGTCAGCACTGGGTTATGCTGCAAATAGCCCAGCCTCAGGGGAGAGCTGGGGCAGTCCTGGGAAGCTCCCAGGGGAGAGAGGGCTGGAACTTGATGAGTGGTAGGGGAGGAAGAACACCAGGGCAGCCACCATGTCAGAACAGGGAACCCTGAGCCACAGTCAGACTGAACTTGGACTCCGGCCCTGGTACTGCTACCCGATCAACTGGGAGACTATAGATGAGCCCTTCCTGTTTGAGTTGGTTTGGAGATCCAGGAAATGGGGAGAGTAAAACCTTCACAGCTTGTTGTGTGTGTTCAGTGAGATGTGGTTCTCAGACTGCTGGAGAATGTTAGGTTTGCTGAGGGGAAAGAGAATAATTGGTAAACATTTCATCTCCCTAGCTGGATTGGGCCGGTCTATCCAGGGTGAGGAATGGGATGGCTCCCCAAGGAAGAGGGTTGAAGATACAGCTGTGCCCTGCTGCCCCAGCAGTACTCCTTGACCTCAGACAGTCCTGGGAGGTGCTGCTGTTGGCAGGTTCTGTTCTTGGGCAGGGACAGGAGAGTGGGAGGGGATTGGGGCAGGTAAGGAATAAGGCTCAAGAGAGGGCTCCCAGGACATACAGGGAGTAGGGCCTGGGGAGTAGATGGTAAATCCTCACTGGATTTGCCTCATGGCTGTGACATGATGCAAATGTGCCAGTCTCTCTCTCCCAACTTCTTTTGCCATTTCCAGATCACCAGAACTAGAGGTGCCTGCCTGCTGGAAGTGAGGCAACAGGTACCCATCATCCCGCTAACCCTGCTTCTCTACCTCATTCTCTCCCTATTTTTTTTAGAAGCTGAGGCCAAGAAGGCATGCGAGTGGCTGCGAGCAACAGGATTCCCTCAGTATGCTCAGCTCTTTGAAGGTAAGGCATCTGCTCCCCCACCCCCAAACTTTCCTATCCCTCCATTGTTCATCTGTAAGGTGGAGCAAATCAGGTCCTTTCTCTCAGTGCACAAGAAGCTGTGTACTCTGGCCCTGCTCCTATAGTTATAACCTCTCTCTCCTACATCATCATCTCTACCAGATGGCTCTCATCAGCTCTTACAAGCTCTGCTGTTGCCATGCATAAAACACCTTGTCTTGACCAGGGCCACTGTTTTGTACCACTCTGAGGATGCCAGTTACATAGATGCAATGTGGAGCATGCACCCTGGCAGCCCAGCCCTCACCTCGTCTTCCCCATGGTCTCACCTCTTTGTTTCTCTTCACTTTTCCATTTTTCTTTAGCATTGTTCATACTAGCTGTCTCCACTTCTCCTCTTCTTCCCACATCCCCAAATTACCCTGACCTCCCCTGACCATGCCAACAACGGTCCTTGTCAAGCTCCCCCATGTGGTCAAATTCAGTGGTCACTTCCCAGTCCTTACTTAATCTCTCTGAAGCATTCAGTGCAGTTGGCCACTCACTTCAGCTTTTAGAAATGCTGCTCTCCTGTCTCTCTGGCTACTGCTCTCAATGTCCTTAGCTGACTCTGCTTCCTCTAGATGATAGCTAAATGTTGGGGTGTCTCAGGGCTAAGTCCCAGCTCTTCTTGTCTCTGAACATTTCTTTCCCAGGAGATTCTTGTCCAAGTACCATCTATATTCTAGTGACTTCCAAATGTCTCTCTGTCCAGACCTCATTCCCAAGCTCCAGATTTATCTAACCAACTGCCAATCACTGTCTCTACTCAGATGTCTGCCGGGTGCCTCAGATTTAACAGGTCTGAATCTGACCTCCCCACGACGTCACTGCCTGCTCAAACCCCACATCCAGGAATCATCCTCAGTTCCTTTTTTCCTTCATCCCCCATAGCTAACCCTTCAGCAAGCCCCTTCTCCCTCAAGAATATTTCTTGAATCAATCCACTTCCTACCACCTTCGCTGTCACATCAGTGTGACCTGCTGTCACTGCTCACCTGGCCTAGCATGTCAGTCTCCTTCCTGCACTCCCTGCTCTACTCTGAATGCACAGCAGCTAGAGGCCCCAGGAGTGTAGGCCTCCCGGTGTCTGTCACTGCTCTGCCCTGACTGTGTCACATCACTCCCAGCAGCACACTTTGAATGAAGTCAGCCCTGGGGTTTCACCCTCATAGACAAGACTACATCAGCCAACTGCCCTTTCTTTACTCCTCTCTCCTTCGCTCTCCACAGTCAGGCCCCTTTTTATCACCTGCTCCTTCTGGTCCCTTTTCCTCTTCGGAGCCTTAATGTTAGTCCTGCCAGGAACTCTCTACCCAGGCTCTTTGCATGGCTGGCCCCTTCTGTTTCTTCGGGACTCGGCTCCGAGGTCATGATCTCTGCTGATAACCTCTTTAGGAGCAGCCCCCACTCAGGCTCTCCTTACCCTGTCACTTTGGCTAACGTCTTTTGTTGCATTTATTACTGCATTCTCTTGTTTGTTTCATATATTGTTTATTGTCTTTGCCCCCAGGAAAGTAGAAAGCCCATGGAGGCAGGGACCATTTCCGTCTCATTTGCTGTTGTATCCCTCTGTCTAGCACGATAAGTCTGGCACAAAGTAGATGCTCAATGAATCTTAGGAAATGAATAAATGGGCTGGTTTTACCAATAAGGCAGAGAACTGTGGGATTTCCTGGATGTTCTCACCTCCTCCCTTGCTTCTTCCTCTCTCCCCTCCCCTCTTTAAACCCCAGGGAGTGGGCTCCCCGCTCTGGGTAGCAATGGGAAGTGTTTTTCCTGTCCTCTCTCTCCCTGCTCCCCCACTTCACCTTGGGCCAGGGAGGAAGTTCCCTGTTTGAGCAGCCCAGGACTCAAAGGGGACTGAGGGAGCCCATGTTGCCTCTTGGCAGCCACCCAGAGCCTCAGGCCTGCTGTCCTTTGTGGACTGGCCTCACTGACTGATGATGGGTCCTCTCATCCAGCTCTACCCTCCTGGCCTCTCCTCAACCTTTCTGCTGATGGCCAACGTGAGCTTCCTAGACTCCTCCCTTCCTGCAGGCGTCTTCCTCCTGCTCTGCTCTTGCTGGGCTGCCTCCCTGCCTCCCTAGCTTCCCCAACCTCCCCTTTCCAGTTCTAAGGGCCGCTGGCAGAATTTCTGTCCAACCACCCTCAACTCATCTTGACTTCTTTCTGCCATGCAGAAGGTTCATTCCCCCTGGATATTGGCTCTGTGAAGAAGGACCACGGTTTTCTGGACGAGGACTCTTTGGGGGCCCTGTGCAGGTAGGGGGGCTGAGGGCCAGACCTGGGAGGCCGGGGCCCAGCTTGGGGCTTCCTCATGGAAAAAAAAAATCCCTGTGCCCCTAACAGAGGAGGAGCTCCACGTATTAACAAAGTTCATGTGCTGCAGTCATCCCACTTACTCTGTCTTCTGGGTCTGTGACACCCTCACCCACTCAGGCACTGTAGCTGGAAAGCCAAAGTCTGGCCTTGATTCTCTTTTCCCTTCAGTGAGATTACACAGACAGTCCTCTCATTGGTCCCCTCTCTACTTACACCAGCTTGGCCCTTGTCTAAGGACAAACCACGATTTCTTGGCTCCAATACAGCCTCCTAACTGGCCTTCCTGCCTTCCATCTCTGCATTCCCCTCCTAGGCACAGCACGGCTGCCCATTGGCCACTAGAGTCAGTTCCCAGACAGGCGCTCCCCTGTCTAAAATGTGTCACTGCCCTAAGGGGAAAATCCAAAGCTCTTTAGCATGACACCTGAGGTCCTTCGCAATCTGGTTTTGACCGACCTTATCAGCCTGAGTCCCTTCTCATAACTACACTGGTCTGTTTACTGTTTTTCTCTCTACCTTGTCCCAGGCTCCTGTTGAAGCCTGAGATAGGAGTTCTTCTGTCTCTGTCCCTCTGAATCCCATTTCTGTCTTCCAGGAAGCCTTGCCTGACTACAACCCGTCTGTTCTTGGAACTTCCTTGTCCCACCCTCTGTGTGCCTGCTGTGCCTTCTCTGTACTCTGCTCTTGAACATTTCCCATCTCTGTAGTGGTTTGTTTCCACATCTGTTAGCTCTCAGAGGACAGAGGCCATAATCTCCTTAACATTGTGCCTGGAACTGAAACTCTCACGAACACTGGGCTTGGGGGAAGTTTTGTTGGCTGGGCACATGCATTAGTGGATGGCATCTTGGGAATATCTTGGTAGGCTATGTGCTGCAGGCTTTGGGGCTTGGGACCCTTGGGTGACCACTCCTTTGTTTCCTTGCAGAAGGCTGATGACCTTGAACAATTGTGCCTCGATGAAACTGGAGGTTCATTTTCAATGCAAGCAGGTGAGTCATGGCAAGGGTGGCAAGGGTGGGCCCTGTGACCCTGTGACACCATGGGAACCCAAGACATGCACAAACCACTTTTGAAACTAGCTCCAGTGTCCCAGGAGACCGGAACGTCAAGAGCAGTGCTTTGCTCCAGCCTGGGGGTGGGGTGTAGGGGGCTCTGTGAGGTCTCTGGGTTTTGGTGAGCCTAGTCTAAAGGCTGGGGTATGAGAAGAAGTACCCTGGCTCTTAGCCTCACCCACCCCCCTCAGCCCACCTCTACCTCCTGGGTTTTCTAATAACTGGACCTAGACGTGGCCCTTCCTTAGGGAAATCCATCTGACTCTGCTCCTTGCTCTGTGATAGCAAAAATTTCTTGACTAGGGGGTAGAGACAGAATAATGTGATGGAAAAATCATGACCTTTATGGTGTTAGACATCAAGGTTGTTATTCCCACCCACCCCGAGTCCTTTCCTTCTGAGCCTCATTTTCCCCATCTCTCCAATGAGTGGTGGGGAGGGGCATTGATAGCTTCCAGAGGCTTTTCTGCCTCCGCTGATCTGGGATTGCTGAAATGGCGAGGACTGTTGGTCTGCACGTAGCCCTGGAATGTAGACCTGATGACCCCATCCTGCCCTGGAGTCAGGCTTTGTGAGTTTCTTCTGAGGCTTTCTCTCCTAGAGGCCTGCATCCAGGCACATTAGCCAAGTTGCCAGAGCCCTGGCCTGAGAAGCAGGAAACCCCCGGGACCTAGTTCCCCACTGACTGCTTAGTGACCTTGGACGAGGCTCTTCCTCACTGCGGGCCTTAGTTTCCCCACCTTGCAAGTTAGAAAACCCTGGCTAGTGTGGCTCAGTGGATTGAGCTCCAGCCTACGAACCAAAAGGTCACTGGTTCAATTCCCAGTCAGGGCACATGCCTGGGTTGTGGGCCAGGTCCCCACTGTGGGGTGGGGGGGCATGTGAGAGGCAACCACACATTGATGTTTCTCTCTCTCTTTATTTCTCCCTCTCTTCCCCTCTGTCTAAAAATAAATAAATAAAATCTTTAAAAAATAAAAATAAAAAAGAGAAGGAGAAAATCGGAAATCTCTTCTCAGCTCTCGCATTCTGTGATTCTAATCTAAAACTCTAGCCCAGACTTGAGAGGTTGCTGAGGACAAGAGGTTAAGACACCTGGATTCTAGGCTGGCTCTGTCACTGACTTCCTGAATGATGTTATATGACCTTGGGCAAGTGGCCTCTCATTTGTGGGTCTGGGTTTCACTGTCTGTAAATAGGGATGGATTAGATCAACCACATGACCTTTACCATCCATCTTCGTCCCATCTATGCCTCCCGGCCTCCTCCGTCTGGCACTCCCAGAGCCAGGTCCCTCTCTAGCACGTCCGCAACCGGAAAGCAGGGCCCTTTGCCACAAAAGTCCCCCAAGCATTTGAAGGCAGAGAGTGGAGCACAAGCAAAGGCTGGTGGGTGGACTTCTCTGACCAACCCTGTGGTGCCCTTCCCAGAATGAAGACTCAGAAGAGGAAGAGCAGTGTACCATCAGCAACCCCTGGGCCTCGCAGCAAGAGAGTCAGAGCTGGTCTCGCGTGGGCTCTTCTGATCTGCTGGCCCCACCGAGCCCTGGACTGCCAGTGACATCCAGCTGTGAGAGTGTACTCACTGAGTTTAGTGCCACCTCCTTGCCGACCATCACTGTGAGCCTACCACCTGAGCCAGCGGACCTGCCCTTACTAAGCCGTGCCCCCAGCCCGAGTGACAGGACCCTCCTCAGCCCCACCCAGGGCTCAGAGGGTCCCCAGGACAAAGCAAAGAAGCGCCGTTCCCGTAGCTTCCTCAAGCACCTTGAGTCTCTGAGGCGGAAGGAGAAGGGTGGCAGCCGGCAAGCTGAGCCTGAGCGTAGCCCAGCCCCCTCAGAGAAGGCCACCAAAGCCTTCTCTTTCCGCAACCGCCGTGGCTTCCTCTCAGCTGGATTCTACAGGGCCAAGAACCGGTCACACACCTCAGCCAGGGGCAGTGGTGCTGAGACTCAGAGGGTCTGGGAGGCCTGGCCTGTGGCCACACTCCGGCATCCTCAGCGGGTACACAGGGGTAACTACCTGGTTCATGTGCCTGGGGACCACAAACCAGGCACATTCCCTCGCTCCCTGTCCATTGAGAGCCTATGTCCTGAGGATGGACACCGTCTGGCTGATTGGCAGCCAGGTAGGCGCTGGGGCTGCGAAGGGCGCCGGGGCTCCTGTGGCTCCACGGGCAGCCATGCCAGTACCTATGACAACATGCCCGAGCTGTACCCAGCTGAGCCTATACTGGTTGGGGCTGAGGCCGAGGATGAGGAGGAGGGAGGGGGCAGCTATGCCCACCTAGATGACATCCTCCAGCATGTCTGGGGACTGCAGCAACGGGTAGAGCTTTGGTCTCAGGCCATGTACCCAGATCTGGAGCCTGGAGATAAGGAAGAAGAAGAAGAAGATGATGAGGAAGAGGAAGAGGCCACTTCATCCGTAGAAATAGCCACAGTTGAGGTTGAAGGTCAGCCGGAAACTCTGGTCCAGGTAGAGGTTCCAGCCCACAGAGAGTCCTCAGCCTCAGTCCAGGATGAAGTTCAGGCAGTTGCCCCAGCTCATCCCTCGGGTGAGCTCCAGGCACAGGCCGAGCTGCAGGCCCAGGCTGAGGCCAAGCCACCGGGCCCAGCCCAGGAGAATGAGCAAGAGGTGAATTCAGGCGGGGAACCCACCTCTGCCTCCAGCCTGTCTGTGGAAGAAGGACACTCCATTTCTGATACTGTGGCCTCCTCCAGTGAACTGGACAGTAGTGGGAACTCCATGAATGAGTCTGAGGCTGCAGGGTCCCCAGCGGCTCTCCAGGCATCAGCGCCCCGTGAACGACGAGATTCAGGTGTTGGGGCCTCACTTACCAGACCCTGCAGGTGGGACTTCAGGGTAGGGATAGGGGCAGGGGGCTGGGTTGTCTCCATCTCTTCCCTTCCCAATCCCTTCCTTTGTTTTTCTCCCCTCCCTCCATCTTCACCACCCCCAAGCCAGTTTCTTAGTTATGAGGCCCAGGGGCATGTTCTTGGGAGCTGACCAATTGCCTTTAGGCACCGATGTGCAAGAGGGAAATCACAAGAGTACAGGACCTGGCAATCCAGAATGTTTGGTTCCAGACCTGCCTCTGCTGTGGCCTCGAGCAAATACTAGCTGCTTCTTGGGCGTCAGCTTTCCCATGTGTAGATCCATGGCCTTAGAAGAGATGATCTCTGATCCCAAGCTTGGCCATTCTGGGCTTGTCACAGCAGCCCCTCCACTGCAGCCCTGGAAGGGTAGGGGCTGGTACTGCTGGATGGCACTAGATGGGTCTCAGCTCTGTGCCACCTCCCGGAAGGCATCTGGGCCACTAGGTAGCCCTGGAAGCTAAGACTAAGCTTTTCCTACCCTGAGGCATAGCAGTAATGCTGACAATGGTCACGTCTCCCTGCATTCTTTTGGTGGGGAGTGGGAGGGGCCAGAAGAGCACAGCCCTTTCTCAGGTCGACCCAGCCCTGCCCCTCTGGTTTTCTCCACCCCCTCATCCCTCACCAGGAAGCTCCGCTGGCACAGTTTCCAGAACTCACACCGGCCCAGCCTCAACTCGGAGTCGCTGGAGATCAACCGGCAGTTTGCCAGTCAGATCCACCTGTTGCACAAGGGTTCCCTGCTGCGGCTCACAGCCTTCATGGAGAAGTACACTGTGCCCCACAAACAGGGCTGGGGCTGGTGAGTGCTCCTGGGTCATGGTGGGCAGGGGGCTGCTCACCCCGGTCCTGGCTCCTTCCCTGCCCTTACTCCAATGCCCTGGGAAGGTCAGCCCCAGAAGGCAGGTGTAGATAGGCAGAGCCCACGGATAGTAGATAGTCGAGTGGTAGGATATGCCAGGAGGCTGAAGGGGCTGTGGCCCGAGCGGTCAATGTGGCTCTGGATGGTTGGTGTGGGTGAGGGGTGCATATGGGATGCATGGGGGTAAGTGTGCCATGTGTGAGGGAGGGATGGGGGTGGGGAACACACAGTCCTCAAGTTGTACCACCTCTACCCCCAGCATCCATGCTGCCACCAGTGACATGGTCTGAAAATGCAGCTTTGGTTGTCACTGTCCTGATAAGCACCCGTCTGTGGGTCTGCAGTGCCCAAGTTTCTTTCCCACCAAGATCCTTTCATATTCTGGCCCTGCCCCATCTGCCGGGCTCTTTAGTTTGCCACTTCAAAGCAATGCCACTGTGTGGGCCAGTCGCCCTTACCTGAATGTGCTGTGCTCTTTTCCCTGCCTCTTTGCCTTTGTCCATGCTGTTCTCTTGGTCTAGGATGTCTTTTCCCCATTTCTCCTCTGGAACAATGTCTACTAATTTCTCAAGAGCCTGCTGAATTTCTACCCATATCTGAGGCCTTCCCTGACCCATTAGGTACAGCTCCCCTCCCTCATGAGTCCTCCACTAAGCTCTTGGCTCACTACTGACAGCATGTATTGCCAGTCACTGCCTGTTGACACAGCTATCTCCTTAACCAGACTGAGAGCTCCCTGTGTTCTTCTGTGAGTCTGTAGGACTGGCCCCAGAACAGGTGCTTAGCAATGGTTGACTCTGGGGATATGTTATATATTTCTTACTCCGCTCATCCCTGCCTAACTCCCTCAAGACTGAAGACAGTCTCCAAGCTCTGTCCTGGCCTACCCCATTCCCCTTCCTGATCTTTTGTCACTCCTCTAAACAGGTCAGTGCCTAAGTTCATGAAAAGGAACAAAACCCCAGACTACCGGGGCCAGCACGTGTTTGGGGTGCCGCCCCTCATCCACGTACAGCGCACAGGCCAACCACTGCCACAGAGCATTCAGCAAGCCATGCGCTACCTGCGCAGCCAGTGCCTGGACCAGGTAAGACCCACTGGGGAACATGCAGTGAGGCGGTGAAGTCCAGGGCTAAGAAATTAGGGAGGGAGAATTGGAAAAAAAGGAACTTGGGGATGGAAGCCACTCTGCTCTGCTCCTTCCCCTTGGCTTGGCCCACCAGAGACCTTTCCTAGCCTCAGGAAGGCTCAGCAAGGATGGAGCTAAAGCTCCCCTCTTCTAGCTCTGTGCCAGGCTCTTTCTGGCTCAGGTGCTATACTCCCCAACTTCCAGGAGTTTGCCTTAGCCTAGGTCCCCCTTTTTCCTATTCATTTCCAGTAAAGCCATGTTTCTGCTTTGCCTGAGGCTATTAACAACCCTCTTCTTCAGTTTTGCCTTTTTTCTCCAACCCTGCACAGCAGGATGCCTGCCAGGCTTGGAAGTCTCTGGGGTAGTCTATACTTGTGACTTTTGGTCCAGCTATGGCCTCACAGTCTCCCTTCCATGTCTCCCTCCTTCCCTCCCTCCCTGACCTGTATGGATCAGGTGGGCATCTTCCGCAAGTCTGGGGTGAAGTCTAGGATCCAGAACCTACGCCAAATGAACGAGTCCTCCCCGGACAATGTCTGCTATGAGGGCCAGTCGGCCTATGATGTGGCTGACCTGCTGAAGCAGTATTTCCGAGACCTGCCCGAACCTATCTTCACCAGCAAGCTCACCACCACTTTCCTGCAGATCTACCAGCGTGAGTTGCCTGTGCCCATTCCTGACAATCTGCCCCCTTCTCAACTGTCCCAAAGAGAAACCACATTCTATTCCCCAAACCCTGTAGGGAAGGATAGAGGAAAGGCCCTGAGGAAAGGCAGGGTCTTATGTAAGGTTACACTGTGCATTGGAGCGGAGCTTGATCTTGTACCTTCCAGGGCCTGCCTTTGCCATTCTGTCTCACTGGAGTCCTTTGGGACCACTGTTTCTTCTGTGTTCCTGGAAGCAGTAGGCTCTGGGGAATAAGGAAGCCCTTACACCATTCCTTCCCTGCAGTGCTCCCCAAGGACCAGTGGTTGGCAGCAGCACAAGCCGCTACTTTGCTGCTCCCCGATGAGAACCGAGAAGTGCTGCAGACGCTGCTCTATTTCCTAAGTGACATTGCCTCTGCCGAGGAAAACCAGATGACAGCCGGCAACCTGGCAGTGTGCCTGGCACCCTCCATCTTCCACCTCAATGTCTCCAAGAAGGATAGCCCTTCACCCAGGTGAAACAGGGTAGCATGTGGGGTCAGGCCAGGCAGGGAGGGTTTGCCTACCCCTGCTTCCCTTGGACTTCAGGCCCCGGATGCCTGGCACTGAAGTTCCAAGGCATCACCACAAGGGGTCAGCCTCACTCCTCAGGGGCCGGGGACTGGCTGGATGCTGTGAAGCAGGGCCTTCTAAAATACAGCAGGTGGTTGTTTTGTGTTCAGGACTGGCAAGCTGGCTTCCTGAAAACTGGAAACCAGCTTGTCAGCCATATTACCTCCTGCCATTGTGCCACCTTCTCTCTGCCCTTCCCTGCAGGATCAAGAGCAAACGCAGCCGTGTTGGCCGGCCGGGCCCTAGGGACCTAAGTGAGAATATGGCGGCCACCCAGGGCCTGTCACATATGATCAGTGACTGTAAGAAACTTTTCCAGGTGAGTAACTCTAGACCATGATGCCTGCCTCCCAGACCTGGAGGAACCATCAGGTCTGACCTTTGCACCCCATGGCTGGGCTAGGGCCCAACTCAGCCATCTACTTCCAGCTTTTCCCTGTAAGGTTTCTCACCTACCTCGCTGCAGTAGCCAGGCTTTCCCACCCCATGAACATGAATCTGACAGACTTGGCAGGCTCTGGGACTGAGGGTCTCTGACCCTCTCTGCTGCTTGCTCCCAGTGGCCCCAGCCTAGTATGTGTGTGCCCTGCTAGGTGCCCCAGGACATGGTGCTGCAACTGTGTGGCTCCTACAGCGCAGCTGAGCTCAGCCCTCCTGGCCCAGCCCTGGCTGAGCTGCGGCAGGCCCAAGCTGCTGGCGTGAGCCTGAGCCTCTACATGGAAGAGAGCGTCCAGGAGCTGCTACGTGATGCTGCCGAGCGCTTCAAGGGCTGGATGAGTGTGCCAGGGCCCCAGCACACGGAGCTGGCTTGCAGAAAGGTGCATACCACACTTCCCATGGTTGCCATGGGGCTGGGAGAGGACTCGGTTCAGACAAGGGGCCAGGGATCCCAAAGGAAAGAGTTGGCCTGCCCATCTCACTGTGCCTTGGCCTGATACTTGGACAATGTCAGCCAGCAAAGCCAGAACCAAATGTGACCAAGGGATCTCTCTTGGAGATCATTTGCCAGAATTACCTTCCCAAAGCCCCACTCTAGGCATGTCACTACTTTTACAACCTCATCTCCTATCTCTCCCTGCACCACCGTCTCGCTGTGCTTCTGCCCCTCATGTCGTGTTACCTGCACTGACCAGCCCCACGCATTACAGTTTCCAAGCCACTGTAAGCCCCAACTCGATATGCCCCCTCCTCCTTTCAGAGCCTCCTGTCATGCCCCGGGCTGGAGGTGACTTCTCTCTGTCCCTCTCTTGGCACCAGAACATGTTCTTTCTCAGATTCCGATTGTAAGACTGCATACCCGAGGTTTGCCATGTATAAAGCAGTCACAGTGAAACCTCCCTTATGGGGTTGGGGTTAGCAGCCAACCTGGCGCCTGGTACTTACAGAAGGCTCAGCAAGTAGCAGCTTTTGTTGCTCTGTACATTTTCTACTCCATGTGCTAGGTGGTGAGTTCCTCAAGGATTATCCCCATCTTTTCCCGTTCATGTGCAGAAATTCCCAGCACTGTGCCCATTTCATGGTAGAGCCTAGTAGGCCTCTGAGAACATGTGTCTGCCATCTGTTTGTGCTCCTGAGCAGGTAGAAAAGCAGACATCTAGAAAAGAGAGAGGACAGCAAACAAGGGGATGGCCTGTTAGGGCTGACATGGGTTAGCACAGGAGCTCTGCGGCCTTTCCTCCTCTGGGGTTGGCGTGAGGGCAGGCCAGGACTGGAGGGTGAGTGGGAGCTCTCCAGCCCTGACAGCTGCCTCCTTTCCCCTCTTCCCTGGCCTGCAGGCACCAGATGGGCACCCCCTGCGTGTGTGGAAGGCATCCACCGAGGTGGCGGCCCCTCCAGCTGTGGTGCTGCACCGTATTCTGCGGGAGCGGGCCCTCTGGGATGAGGACCTGCTGCGGGCCCAAGTGCTGGAGGCCCTCATGCCGGGTGTGGAGCTGTACCACTATGTCACGGACAGCATGGCCCCCCACCCCTGCCGTGACTTTGTGGTGCTTCGGTGAGGGAGTCAAACTGCCACTCTGCTGTGCTTAGGGGACAGAGGAGGTGGGGTGGGAATGAGTATCAGGAACCTTAATGTGTGTGTCCCTTCTGCACAGGATGTGGCGTTCTGACCTGCCTCGTGGGGGTTGCCTGCTTGTCTCCCAGTCCCTGGATCCTGAGCAGCCTGTCCCAGAATCTGGGGTGCGGGCCCTGATGCTCACTTCCCAGTACCTCATAGAGCCTTGTGGCCTGGGCCGCTCCCGGCTCACCCACATCTGCCGTGCTGACCTAAGGTACCAGGCCCCCTTTGCCCTGGTGCCCTCCCTGCCTCTGCCCCATGCCGTTGATCCCTGGGGGATGGGGGCCAGTCTCTTCTTCCATTTCCCTGGAAAGGGCTCCTGGTAAGACCCCATGGCTCATGCTTGCTTGCTTCTCCTTTCCCAGGGGCCGTTCTCCTGACTGGTACAACAAAGTCTTTGGGCACCTGTGTGCCATGGAAGTGGCAAAGATCCGGGACTCATTCCCCACCCTGCAAGCAGCTGGCCCGGAGACAAAGCTGTGAGCCTCGGCCTGGTTCCAGGGTGACACCTTCCAGCCCCCTTGGTACCAGAAGAGTAGGGAGGATCAGAGCACAGCAGACCCCAGATGCTGCTTCCAGGGGCAGAACCAATCCCTGCACCCCAGCTGCCTGGCCCCATCCCCCGAGGTTCCTCTGCACATACAGGGGAAAAATTTCAGTGCCCTGTCTCCATCCTACCCCCACCCCCACCCCAAACCTGTGTTCTGCCTTCCTGACAGAGGAGCCATTTTAGGAACAAGAACAACGCCATTGCCCCCAAGCCCACAGAGCCACCAGTCAGCCTGGAGCCTTACTGGCTCTCTGCCTGCGGGGGACAGAGGGAGAGGGCAGTGTGTGCTCTCAGCTCTCTGCCCTTATGAGAGGCCAAGCCATCCTGTTTGGTACTAGGGTCCCTTTCAGATTGGACAGGAGGTTCTGGTCCTGCCTTTGAGCCCAACATTGGCCCTAAACTAGCTTTTCCAAAGAAATTGGATGGGGCTAGATGGGCATGTAGGCAGAGCACAGGACATCCCCAACCACCATGTAGTATTTTATTTGTGTAAATACGATGCTGATTTTTATGAGGCTGATTTAAAGAGTGGGCATGGGCAGGCCCCTAGTAGGCAACATGACGATTTGGGATAGCTTGGGACATGAGAATGGGGGGGGCGACTTCCTCTCTCAAGTCTCAAGAGACCAATGAAATAGCTTCCCCTGGCTTAGGCCCCATACTTGATCTCCCACTTTGTGGGGTCCTGTGCAGCCTTTGACCTCAAACTGCCATGTCTAGAGAGTAGACAAGCTCACTCCCACCACACAGGCTGAGCAAAAGCAGATGGTGGCAAGGAGACACGTATCTGTGTCTGCATCCCTTCTCCTGTTCTTTGTGCCTGCGGTACCAGCCTGATATAACAGCCCCTTCTTCAAGCAGAGACCTGGCCCCTGGTTCAGGTGGCCAGCCAGCCAGATGGCGAGGCCTAGTGTCAGCCCATTGGGGAGTGATCCAAACTTGATCTATCCTGTCCATTAGCTATCTGGGTTCATGGTGAAATTCAAATGCCATTCAAGCACCAACTCACGATTTATTTTTCTTTAGGCTGAATAAACTAAACTGAGATGGTTCCTAGCCAACGTTGTACTTTTTAAGCCTATTTTCCTTGTACTTATAAATACTGTACAGTCAGGATATGTATATGTATTTGTGTACATATAGATACATATATATATATACACACACACTTATATACACACTGATATGTTCTATCATGAGTATACTATAACCTATGGGTGGGAGTGGGGCAGGGCACTTAAGATGAGATGGGGGAGGTGGAGAGCAGGAGCCACGTGAATCCCTCAGCAGAACAATAAAGCATTACTAGAGATGCATGCTGGCTGTGTGGCTATCTTTGCTCAGATGCTGGGCTACAGACTGGGCTCAGTGATAGGGTCAGAAGTTGTGAGCATTACTGGCCTAGGACTCATGGAGGTCACAGGAGGAATTGGGGCAAGGCCTCAGCTCTTTGGGAGGGGATTTGAGGTTGGGGAGGAAGGATTCCAAGAAGCCACAGCTTGGGCAGAAGCTGCAGACCCCATCCCCTGTCTTGGCCAGGGTCCCCCATTTGAGCAGCCCACAAGCATGACCTCGGGAGTCCTGACAGTAGCAGTAGGGACAGATGTCCCTGGCTATGCTGTCCTTTCTTCCCCTGCTACACACAGCTCGAGCTGAAGGATGAAGAGTGGAGACCCAATCCTGAGATCCTTGGGAAAGCTGTTGCACTCATAAGCGCATAGACATGAGAGGTCTAGAGTGCCTTGTGGCGGCTTCTGGTATGCTTTCAGTGGCCAGCAAAGCCCAGGGAACTAGGGTGGCCGCCTCATGTTGACTTCCTGAGAGGTAGTAACTTGCCTCTTCCTTGTTACTGTAGCCAAAACATTCCCAACCTCTGAGGGGCAGCTAGGGAAAGTACAGGCTTCACAGTCGACTCTGTGTGTGCATCCCTTGAGTGTTGTTGCATAGCCTGAAACTAACACTCTGCTTCCTCATACGGCAAATATGCCAGGGACACCTTGTCACCAGTCAGCCTCAGTAAGTGTTCACATTGGCCTGCTCCTACCTGCATCCCCACCTAGTCTGAATAGGTCAGGTTGCCTGTCAAGTCCCTCTTCACTGTCCTCTCCTTCCATTTTATTCTGGGTTTAGCTGGCAAGGTAAACAGAGGGCCTGGAAGCCCCTTGCCTTTGGAAAAATAGTGGACTCACCCCCCCGACATCGTTGCCCCCCCCCTGTGCATTTGGGATGGGACATAGCTCAAGTGGCACGAATGTTCGGGAACCAGTGTGAAACTCTGGCCAGTAGCTTTAGAGGAAGGCAGCCAGGGGATCTTCTGGCACAGGCACTGCCCCATCTGGCCATGAAGAAGGTTGGCTGATGGTACAGAGATTGGAGTTGAGCATGCTCTTAATGGGTGGCATTAAAATGACCACCCATGTGATGGTTGCTAGAGACAGGTAAAGAGTTATGAGGGATGCTCTTGGAAGGATTGCCCCAACCCTTCAGCTCTGGACTCTGCTGCCCTGGACCAGCTGCCCAGTGTGGCTCCCTTACATTTGGCATTCTGGGAGAGATAGTGCCAAGTAGGGGTGCTTCTCTGGGCCTTAACATCATTCCCCCTACATAAACTAGAGGCTCCCATGTCTGCCTAGCTCTGCCCACCATGTGCTCCATGAATGCACTACCCTGACAAATAGATGTGAGAATGGGTGTCATGATGATGAGGCTGCCCAGGACCCTCACTCCAACACACGTAAATATCACCGATGGCCATTTCTAGCTTTTGGTATTACACTTCCATCCATCCTGAGTTGGCCTTTCCCCTTCCCTGATGCCAGAGAACGCTCACCCTTAAATCCCCAACCCTGTTGCTTATGCTTTCTCTTTTTGTGCTTCCACTGACCCAATAACTTAAAACATCAGGGTGTGCATGTATCTGCAATCTATCTGCAAGCTTTGGCCTATTATTTTCTAGTCACCAGTGCCCTACTGCTGGAGTGGCTGAGGGTCAATAGTAGACAGACTCAAGTTCAAATCGCCTATATTACTGCCTGGTTGTGTGACCTTTATTGACACATTTAACCTTTCTGATTCCTTTTTCCTCACAGAAGATATTAATCATATATATCTTGCCAAGTTGTCGTCACTGTTAAATGAGCCAATGGGAACGTGGCTTCATTGTACCTAGCAGATCGCAGCCATGAGTGAGTGGTAGTTTCCTTTGCCCGGCCTCCTCCTTGCCAGTCAGGCTCAGTTCGGGGGGAATTGGGCTTGGGTGGATGAGTGGGAGCATGCATTTTATTTTCTGTTGACATCAAGGCCCCGCTTACCCTCTTGGTTCCCAGACCCTGACAGCCTCAGTTCCCATCATTCTGGTCACACCAACCTCCTCACCAAACTCAAAACATCTCAGTGACCTCTTTCAGTCCTAACTACCGATTGGCTTTCACTCCACTTCTTCCTTGAGAATGTGACCCACATGGCCACATCTTCCTTCTTCAGCCCCCTTTCCTCTAGGCAAGGAAACCTCTTCCCACTTTTTTGACCATAGTTATTGACCTTCTTCCTTGCACTTCTCGGTTCTTCTCTCCCTCTGCCTGAGCTCATCCTCAAGCATTCCTCCAACTTTTTCCTTATCCTCCTCCACTTTAGCTCACCTTGCTCTTTAGGGTCCTTGCTGATATCCATTTTTTCACCTGGAGACCCATGTCAAACTCATCATCTTCCTGCACAGTCTGTTCGCTGCTGCCTGCTCTGTGTCTGTTGGTGGCACTGTGATCTTCTTAGATACCCAGTTCAGATCCCCAAATCAGGCATAACCCCTTCCTCCTCACCTCCCCTCACAGTCAATGCATCTATCCATCTGTCCATCCGTCCATCCGTCCATCCATCCATCCATCCAAATACTCATACATTTTGCCATTCAACAAGTAGTTGTGGAACATCTACTACATGCCAGACTCTGTCGAGGTGTAAAGAATACAACAGTGAACAAGACTGATAAGGTTCCCACCTGCCTTTGTGCACATTCTACTAGATGGGTGAGTGGAGGGAGGTAGAAAGTAGACAAATACACAAGCTAACTTCATCTATGACAAAGGTGATGAAGGCAATAAAGCAGAGTGAGGTGCTAGTGACTGGGCAGTTACTTCAATAGGGTGGTCAGAGAGGGCCTTTTTGGGGAGACAAGGGACCATTTAAGCTGAGACCTGAGGGGGGAGAAAGAATAGCCATACAAAGATCCAGGTCGAAGAGCTCTGGGCAGAGCAAATAATGAGGAAGTACAATGGCCCTGGCGTGGTGACAAAGTTGGTGTTTTCCAGGATGAGCAGCTGGTCAGCATGGCTGGGGTGCAGGGAGCAAAGGGGTAGTGGGAAGAGATGGAGTCATAAGGGCCAGGTCACATGGACCCACAGGGGAATTAGCCGTGCTCCGTCTACTCTACCTTTACAGCATCTCTTGTATCCAGCCCATGCTGGATCCACCACCCCAGTTCATATTGCATTCCCTTCTACCTGAATATTAGAGAGAATCCCTCACCTCTTTTCTCTCCTCTTGCCCATTTTGAACTATACCTGGTCCCAGGTGAATTTTTCTAAAGTCGATGTTACCCTATGCCTTTCTGGCTCAAAAACTGTCAATGCCTTTTCACCCATCCACCATCTGACTACCAAACAGTGGCATTCAGAACCCCGCAATGCACCTTGTTCTCTCTATTCCCTCCTCCAGCCATGTTCCAAGCATGCTCTTTTAGTTACCTCTTCCAGGAGTGGGATGTAGGACTGTCTTGGACCCAGAGGACCCAGGTTCAAATCTCAGCTCTGCCAGTTTTGAGCTGGGCCAAACTATTTAACGTTTTGGGGACCCAGGTTTCCCATACATTAATTAAGGCTCAGAGAAATGTGTGGATGGCTTGGCAATGCAGATTGATTCTCACAAAATATTATCACTCTCAAATCTCACCCATCTGGCCACACTCAATTCTGGTATGTCTCCACCATGAAGGCATCCCTGAAGCTTCTAGCAAGGTTTGTTCTTTCCCTCCTCTTAGTCATCATTGCCATTTGCATCTGCCCCTCATCTTGCTTATGCCCCTTCTTGCGATTCTTTGGGTACCAGTTACATTACCAGTCTGTTCATTAGACTGGGAGCACGTGGGCCCAGTTACCTGGTGGGGTTTCTCTGAGTCCTTCATAGTGTCCAGCTCAGGAAGATAAGGAGGTGCAGTGAAAAGCATCTGGAGACACACAGAGGTGTGTTCAAGTCCTAGCTCTGCCACTTCTTAGCAGTGTGACCCTGAGCAAACCATTTTGGTCTCTGAGCCTCAGTTCTCTCATCTGTAAAATGGGTACAGGGATGCCTACTTTGCTATGGTGTTGAAAAGAGCCCATATGCCCAGCAGAATGCCCAACACAGTAATGGCACAGAAGAAGTGTTTCATCACTGTTTACAGGCATTGCACATTTTATTGCACTTCACAGATAAAGGATTTTCATCAGTATCAAGGCAAGACCCTCCACTGGTGAAAACATTACAACTTTCTGATGGCTCAGATGACGGCTATGGTATTTTTAAGCAATAAAGTAGTATTTCTAATTAAGGTCTACACATTGTTCTTTTTTAGACATAATGCTATTGCAGACTTAATAGACTACAGTGCAGTGTAAACATAACTTTTATGTGCACTGGAAAGCCAAAAGTTTCATGTGACTAACTTTATTATTATGTTGCTTTATTACAGGGGTTTGAGACCAAACCCACAATATCTCTGAGGTGTACCTGTATTGTGTTGCCTTGTTCACTCTAAGCCATCACTCTATAAGGTCTCCCCATACTTGGCTTGTGCCCCCTATGTTCTTTCCTGCTGTTCACACCCTTCCAGACTCAGCCAACCTTTCCTAGTCAACCCAGCTCAGACCTCTTGAAGCACTTTTTGAGTAGACTTTGTCATCTAAGACTACTCTCAAATATATAAGCTAGTCTGTCTTTGCTTAGGCTGTGACATCAAGGACAGGGACCACATGAGTCACCGCTGTGGCCCCATGTCCAGCACAAGGTCTGGTCTAGAAGAGCTAGTGTTCAGGGAGTTCAGGGACTGTGTCTTGAATGTAGTTAAATATTGGTGTGAGACAGGGAGACAGGATAGTACATGAGGTAGGGCCTGTGGGATCGGAGGATACACTGGAGCTCAAAGG